GTCACTGCAACAGAAACAACCTTTGAGCTGCTCAAAGTTAGGAGCTAGCATAGCTGAGAACTTGCTGGGCTGCTTCAACTCACTAACCACACAGAAAACCTTTTGCTTTTTTTTTTTCCCCCCAACTGAGTTAGTCTTGTGTCAAGTCAGTGAGCTGGACTGGATTACAGGGGATCCAGCAAGCAGCAGATTGCTCGAAGAAGACATGGAGAAAAGGGGATCTTCTTGTAGTCAGTTATCAAATCAGCTTCAGCTGCTCTATGCAGCTTCAGCCTCACACTCATGGAACAGAGCAGGTAGAGCAGAACATGTAAGTGATCCTTATTTTCAGTAGTTACTTTAAAAAATTAATTTAAATTTAAGTTGAACTAAACTATTTGAATGTACTTGAGTGAATTAGGATTGGGTCACACTTTTTTCTGGTTCACATGTGGAAGGAGTAACCTGTGATTTTAGCGCTGCTATGAATGGCGATTTCTTCACTGGCTCAGCATGTTCTAGAAGGATACATGACTGTGCCGTGATTGCAGGGACAGATCCCTTGTTCTCCTACCAAAGACAGCAGTAATGTATGCAAGTAATATAAGTCGATGCAAGTTCAAGAATGTATCTTTGAACCAACTCATTGTAAAGAGAGAAAAAAAGATTTTTTTAAACCAATGATGATACTAATATTACAAGCCAAAGAAGGTTTATATTGAGAAACCAATGTACAATGTGAAAAGTGGTAGATAAACATACACTGCAACGATTATATGTCCATGTCACTGTACAAATGAATATTACCAATAAACTATTATTTTCTAGGGATCTTTCTCTGACTTCTCAGAATTGTTTTAAAAATGCTAGTCAAATGGCATATAAAATCTACCTTGGTGGAAATTATTTACCTTCGTAATGTCTCTCATAAAAGAATTGGAAAGAAAATAATTAACCATAGAGCAGAAAACAAAGCACTATACCTAGTAATATTTTTATGTAATATTTTGTGAAGAGGGACTTGGGTGGAATTTAGGTCTGTCTCTAAAAAAACCTGGCAGCTGTTGCTGCTGCAGTAAGGACATGACTATTTGACTTAGCTGTGCCCTTGTGTGCCCAGAACTGACCTAGCTGTGGCAGGGCTGTGTAGGTCTACGCCCAGACGTGACTGAGATCCAGAAAGGAGTTGTTCTGCTTGAATAGACTGAAAGGAAGACCCTGGAAACGCATGTCTTGCAGGCAGCATAGACTGTAGAGGACTTACACAATCACAAAATGAAGTAGTGGCTAGTAGGATATCGCAGAGTAACTGTCTGTTATGGCACGGCATTTGTCACTTACCATGTCATTGTTCCCTGCACTCTTTCTATGTTTTCTGTTCTTAATTTGGTTACTGGATGTGGGAGACCCTGCCCAGTACAGAACAGGGACCAGAACTCACGTCTGCCGCTTCTAGGTGGGCATCAACTTTGTGTACTTTCTTGATGGCTTGTTGAATTCTCCAGTTCATTACTACACAGCACCATACTTTCAGTGGGTAGATGGGGACCACCCCAGCATAGGCAGGTGGCAAGGCTAGGAGGAGGGTAAATGCTGATAAAGGAATGAAGTAGTGTGTTCTCTCCACCAGCCTTGCCTAACCAAAAAGAAGTTATCTTATGGCTTCAACTGTTTGGTTAACTGCAGAGAACTAACTTGCTTGGAAGGTTGTAGAGATGGTAACTGGAAATGATAGAATGAAATTTTAGCTGTACATGTTTTCTTTGATCAGTCAAAGTGTTACTTTCTTTCAATTAAGCCTGTTAATTGTGGCATGTAGGCGAGCCAAGGCATGTAGGCAGAGGTTGTATCTTTTATTAGACTAACTGACGTCACTGCTAAAAGCTCATTGTTAAATATTATGATGGGAACTCATACCTTGTTTTAGATTAAATGACTGAAGATTAATATATTAAAGGGAAGCAACCATATGGGTGACCTACACCCATAAATAAGTCAGTTTAATGTCTTACTATCTGAGAGAATCTCTTTGCATGCTAATTTCATAGAAAGTTCATTAAACCAACCTTTTGTATGGCTGATGGATCAGCATACAGCTGTGTTCTGTTGAGGTCTTGCATTTCTTCCTGCTTACAAAGCCTTTCTAACAGTAACTTTTTGCCTTCTGTTACTGTGTGCACTCTTTCTGTTAATAGTTTTTGGAAGTGGAGTATGGTGTTTTCAGAAGCACTTTTCTTAAGTGGAACAGGTGACGCCTCTGTGGATAAAAGCAAAGTTATGTCGTTAGAGTGCACGAGTCAACAAACTGCTGACACTAAAGTTTAGCACATGCTAGATTTTCCAAATGCTGTCCTTCTGTTACACTCTTTTGGCAGGCGTTGCCTGGTGTTGTGTAAGGGGGTCATTGTATAACGACTACTAGGAATGAGGCAGACCTTGTAAAAATCACTCATAACTGAAACTTTCAGCTTTGCCTAGCTACTGCCTTCTGCAGGACGTACTTATCTAATAGGCAGTAAGTGAAAGTATACTTAATGACACAGTCCTGCGAGTACACTTTGTGTTGGTGTACTGTGCAGGTTGAATTCAGGAATAACATGTTCGGATCTGTTTCTGTTCAACTGTCTGTAGAAAAGATATCATTCTAGTATTAAAAACTGGGGGAGATGTCTCCTAAAAACTAAGTTTGTCATCCCTCATTGTTGGACCTTTTGATTATTTAGAGCCTGACAATTCTGCCAAGGAGGAAAACAGCTCCTGACCTTTCCTGTATCAGATTGCAGACCGCATATTTCTATCTATACCTTCATTTTTCTCTCTCAGTCATTCTATACCGTATCTCTCTTTGGAATAGCTGTCTTAACCTCTATTCTCTTGCACAACATGTTAGACATTGCATGTCAATATACATTAGAGAAATTAATTTTTCCTCTTTACTGACACATGGTATGATATGAGGAAACCACAGCCATGACTGTAATATTGTCCCTATTTTTCCCTGAGCCACACAGATAATTAAGACATCTTCTTTTTTAAAACTTTTAATCTTTTCCTTGCACTTGATTCTTATAACTCAAAGAAGTATTTCCTGATGTTTCCTTTATTTATACTAGGGATGAGGACTGAAACGAAGAAACTGCAGTTTTCCTTAGGCCTGCAATCTTATCAGGACTTTTCTTTTGCAGATTGTTGACAGTGAGAGAATTGTTGGTTTGAAGCTTGATTTTAAGTTCTAAGATTTTTTTAAATTGTTTGAGCAGTGGACACTAGAATCTGCCATCCAATTCAACAGCAGTGTATAGATGCTTTAAAAAGTCAGGGGCTCTTACCATCATTCCATGTTTTTCTCTTGACACCCAAGGATGCCATGTTTGCTGTAACATCTCCCACTGAAATTTAGAAGAGAAAAGCAAGGTGACGAAGTATTTTGCAGAGATTCTCAAAGCACAATCACACACCAAAAGACTTCATACTACAAAAACAAATGCACTGGGACAAGTGGCCTGGAGCAGTGAGAATCTTCTAGAAAAGTTAGGTGCTGGGTTGGCACACATAATCAGGGTGGAGACACATTTATTTGGCAGATGCCTCAAACAGCTTAATAATTAAAGCTTCTTTTCTCAAAGGTTATTGTTTTACTGTCTCCTGCCTCAGCATTCACAGCACAGATGACACAGTCCTTTTCTAGCATGCTAAAATGTAGAACAGCCAGGTTGGCTTAAATATTCTTGGTGTTGACAAATTCCATTCATGGAGAGCAGAAATGAGCAGTAATATCTTCAGTTTCTGGATCTGGAAGAAAATGCCTGTCTCTAAAATGTGATTGAGCACAAGAATTAGGCAGGTGAGAAGCAGTGCTGTCACCCATGGCTGTGTGGATGTCATTCCAGCCTTAACTAATGCCACTACCATTTGGTGCCCTGGGACACCGCATTAGAGCTCTGAGTCATGACCAAGGACAGCTGGCTTAAAGATGGCTCCAGCAGTTTCTGCTCAAGCTGGCCATCTGGCCTCTGCTGCAGAAGTATTTCAAGTCCTCAACCAACAAATTATTTAACATATTGAGAAAACATCAGAATTAGTTCTGGTTTACCGTAACTCACTGAGCTCTGAGCTGCAGTGTTTCAGTGGCTGTTGCTTCTACAGGGACATATGCTCTGCCTGGAGTAGTGGCAGGTGCCCCTGAGAGGTGAAGCAGTTAGCCAGTCATGAGAACACTTACAGCAGACACAAGGTTAGCTGTGTGGTTCCTAGATCAGAGGTCTGTTGATAATAAAACAGAAGCAGACTATTTAGAAAACTGATTCTGCTTTAGCAAAATTAATATAATAATTACAAGTGCTCAGATAAACCTCACTGCCGTGGATTTTTCTCTCTTGACTGTGCTGGGAATTAAATTAATGAAGTTTGGTTTTTTTGAGTCCTTGCAATTGGCTTGATTGTTACAGATTTCCACAGTTCTAAATGGTATAGGCTTGCAGCTTTTCTAGTCATAAGACTTTACCTGCCTGGTAACCTCTAAAACCTGCTATGTTGTCTAGCACCATTTCACTGTCTCTCACTTTAGCTTCCTAAAGAACAAAGATTCTCCAATAACACTGAACGCTTCAGGTGCTTTCACTTTTTGTTAATGTTCTCACTTCTAAATTCCTCCAAAGACCATTGTTTTTCACCAAGTATTGCCTACTGACCATGCAGATACAGGTTCTTCAGTTATTTTTCCTCCCCATTCTGGCCACAGATCTCACCCTTACAGCATGGGTCAACAGGCAACTTTACATTTCATTTTAAGTGCTTCATCTGATCACTGAAATTTTTAGTACCTGATAGGAGACTTGAACTTTCACATCCCCAGCTCGAGGGACCCAGAGGCTGTCGTCTTAAGATACAGTCAACTTCATCGTAAAATCTCATTTTTCTTCTGGGATTACCAAAATGTTCATTTTCCTTCTGCAGTGCACGGTATTCATATTTTAGGTTCTTATACTTTGTACGACATTGTTTCCAGTCTCTGTCTATACCACGTTTCATCAACCTTCTGGCAATTTCCTCAAATATTTCTTTATTTCTTGTGGCCCCTTCAAGCATTTGTTGTATCTTTTCGTCTGACCATATGTTTATCAGAGCTCTGACTTCATTATCACTCCAGTGTTTCCCTGTTCCAGTATCATTAACTGTAATAACTTTAAAGTGATTTTGTGCTTCTTCCAAGGGAATGTGATTGTCTGAAAATATAAATGAAACAACAACTGAGTATTGCTGAATACACATATATTAGAGTGTAATTGTAGCAAATGACGTGGTAACAAGTGTTTATAATAATCCCGTTACAAAAATCTTTTAACTTTACAATGTTAATATCCATACATTATTACAATTCTCTTAAGTATGAAAAAGATGTAGCAAGCATGTAACAAATATCTTGTTTTTCCACATTTTGTTAGTGTAATTTTGTTGCTTTTGTTGTCAAATTAAAGACATGTATTCAAGTGCTACATAGGCTATAGGAAGCCATAGGCCTTAAGCTTTAAAGCTACAAGATACCAGAACTGATAAAACAAATGACTTTACAGTATGGTTTCAGATTAGAATGGCAAGGCAAAATATCATGCAAATAAAAATTCCATAGAAGAAAAAAATTCTACCTACATATTCAGAAGTAGGCAGGTGCTGCTCATCAGATAAGTACAGAATGCAAAACTCGACTACAGTTATAATGCTCATGACAGGAAATAGAGCTATGAAACTAATTTTTAAGTTTAGTGATAAAACTAGACTGGAGTCAGAAGTAGAAAAACAGAGCTGTGCTTACAGTAGGGATCTGGTTGCTCCAGCTTTGGTGTTCAAATTACAATGTGATTTTGTTTCAGAATAAATGCCTGGAAATTAATACACACCTGTCCCAACCATCCGTTTTGCCACTGGTGTACAAGGTCTGTCTTCTGAGGTAGTGCTTATAGAATCATCATCTGTAGAAACACACAGTTTTAAATAAAATAGACTTGGACTTAGACAAATAAATTGCTAACATTATTGTCATCCTCTGCAGGTAATACCTATCTTCAGTTAAAAATTTTGCAACCCATTAGTGTAAGCCATTATAAGTTATAAGAAGTCTTCTGCCACATGCCTCCCTAAATTAAATTATTTATTGGCATTTCTTGTAAGCCCTATCTTTCTTTCTGCCCCCGCATTCCCCAAAAGTTAGCTGTGGATACAACACAGATTTAGAATACTTGATTATAAACACACAGGTATACATGGATGGTTTGTATCTCACATATAAGTCGACTTGCATAACACGTTTGTACACATTGATTAGCACAGGTGCGCCTTCCAGTGTCTTCCCTAGGCAATATGGGTAGGGCAGGCTTGGTGATGCTTTGGTGCCATTTGTGAGGGCTCATCTGTGGATTCATTCACACCTAACGGGGCTTGGACTGCAGCCTTTCCCGTTATGGGGTCATGCATGCTCCCCACTGCTGTCATGAAATGAGAAGGGCCTTGGGCCCAAGAAGACCACTGTCCCCCTCTTGAGTTTGGATGATGTTCATGTGATTTAGCTGTCATAAGTAAGAGGCACAGGCAGCTGTCGGCAGACCTGCATGCAGTGTGATTTTGCATAAGCAGCATGTCATACTGCTGATGGGGCTTTCCTGAGATCTACGGGAGTTTCCGTGGAACAGTAGAAAGAAACTGAAAAGAAGCTTTTGCTCCCCATTCCTACTTGTTCTATTCAGGACTACTTTTTACCACACACACATACAAACATAAAAAGTGGCTCAGAGTCCATTTTAGTAAGCTGCCAAGGTGGGTTTCAAAGCTGGGCTTTGAGGTGTGCCTTTCCCTGCTTCCAGGAGGGAGAGCAGGAAGGGATGCTAGGTTTTGTGGGGAAAGTTTCATGCTTTTGCCTTCCTTTAGGAGACAACCATGTTTATTTACTTTTGGTGAATGGCTAGCCTCTGATACAGAGCTTTTGTGATGGAGATAACATAAGCAGAAAAAAAACTGGAAAGCAAACTTTAACACTTTGGCAGAAATCTTTAGCTTAGCTTAAATTCCATTTTCTATATGTAGGGATTGCTCTATCAGAAACTATTCTATGTGGGTTAAATGACAAAACAAGGAAGACAGAAGAACTATTTTTTATTCTACCAGCATCTGAGTTATCTTCAAAATTCCATCTCTAACAGGATAGAAATATCATTATATTATTTTTTCTGCATGTGTACATGCCAGGTTTTTCTTCTCTCTTCTCTGAGGCTGTAATAGCTTTGCACTCTTTGCACAGCATAAATGGTGTTCCCTTCAGAAAAAAAATTCAGGAGCCCTCAGAATTCTTGAAATCATCTATGGACATCAAAACCCAGCTCTGCTGGCTCTGGTCTCACTTCCTCAAGCTTGGACTCCTCTGAGGCTGAAAGTTCACTTTCGTGTGGAATGGTTGGGAGAGAAAGAAAGATGAGTTCTCATCATTGTGGTAAGGGATGTCATAGATAATTATCTTCAATACAGTTTTCAGTAAAAGGTAGAAGTAAATATTCCTTATATGTTTTGAAAAAATGAGTGCATGGTTTAGACTCTGTTAGAAGTAACATTGCTGATAAATAAGCAGCAGTTCATTTGATGTGCTTTCTATAATGGTACTTGCTAACATATGCACAGAATAGTACTCAGAATTCATATGTGCTTTATAACTTGCTTTCTCTTAAGTGATTTGTCAAATATTTGTTTTCATAAGCCATATGCAGGTATAAATTTTATACCTATGGAATACTTTGAATCAGAAATTATACTCTTAGAAGCATGTGTGTGTGTGATTTACTTGGGGTACTAGGCAAAAAGTGGTTTTTCATAAACAGGCTACCCCGTAACTGAAGAAAATTCTTGTGTCTTCCTTTAACACCTGCAGCTATCACCATATATAACCTTGGAGAAAGCAGCCCAGGTTAAACAGGTCAAATCCTGGGCTTTTCAGTGATTTCTCTTTTAAACTATTACCAAAGAGCACCATGGCTTTCATTTATGTGCTCATTCTCTCAACCATGCCAGCTCTCTAATCTCTTTCTGGCTTTGGCAACGACACTTGTGTGCTGCTGTCTCATGTGATTACTACCATCAGTTGGATATCACATGACAGGAACAAGAGATTTGTGTGTATAAGGCAGTCAGATGATTTGCATGACATTTTATTCTGTGTCATTGCATGTGAATTCTTCTCTTTGCATCAGTGTGACCTCGCTGTCTCTGAACTTTCAGGGACACAGATTTACTTTATCCTCAGTGTAACTTGTGTTTCTGTGTGTCACTGCTGTGATGGCATTGCTCTGATGTTGTCCTCAGTGTCATACTCCTTACACTTGTCTCTCATAATCAAGATCCGCTTATGCAAACAGCTGTAAAAGCTGTATTGGATAGGATGTCTCAACACCCAAACTCCAGATAACTGCTGAGAAGAAAGCTCTTGCCTGGGTCACAGAAATACTGATGCATACAATAGAAATATTCTTATGATAGAAACTTTCATTGTAAAAGGCCAAAGAATTGTTGTTCACAGAATCATTATAATAAAATTTTAATTATTTCCATTAACTTCTGGGTACAAACAGTAGTACCATAAAGTATATTCTGATCTAGGATGTCAAGTCATTAGATTTCAGTGTCATTGTTATTTCCTCTGATGCCTGTTTTTTTATTACCTTCCATAGTTTCTATGCTCATTTATTCCAGAAGATTAATATCCCTACTGTATTTTTATGTTAAATTTTAACATTTTTAATAAAACTAATCTTCTCCCGAATACCTGTCACTGAACGTATGACTTCTACATATTGCTGAGGCTCTGATTTCAGTTTTACTTGTAAAATAATTCAGAATATTTATGGCAATTGTTTGAAAGTCAATAGTCTGAAATTAAATGCACTGTCCTGAAGTAGTTTGAAAAGACAAACAAGGCATAAAATGTTTAGTGTTTGTGAGACTGCTTTTTAACTCTCCAGATTATCCTCTCTAGCAACTGTGTATGAAAAAGAACATTTGTGTCACACTCAAATGCAGACTTATCTAGCGTAACAAGGACTATGTTGTGTGGGAAAACAAGATCTTGTTATTAATTTGGGGAAGGAGAAATAAGGTTGTATAAGGTTTATACATTTTTGCACTATGAAATAAAAATAAAAATAGATTTTATTTACACAGAGCAAGTATAATTTGCAGGAATAGCATATAAACCTTAGAAATCTGCAGTTCTCAGTAAAGCACAATGTTTTGTTATAATCATCAAGACTCAGTCTTGACCTACCTATGTCAATTGTCTCCTTCTTGATTTGTGTACCTTCCAGAGCTGCGGGGATGCAGTTTGCAAAGTCCCCCTCATCTTCAAGGATTTCTGTTAAAAAAACAAGTACAGAGTTTCTATTAACTAAATTGGTCTTTAGTTATGTCTTGAGAATCATCAACTTCAGAATGCCATTAATAATAACTATTGTTAAAGATTTCATCTGTTAATACATTAAAGCTGGCATTTCTCTGCAGTAATAACACCACGTAACAGCTGCATAATGTAAGTTTATGGATTAAATGTACAAACTCTCAAGTTATTTAAACCTGGATAAGACTTTGTAGACTGTTTTGCTGATCGTGGTTGTAAGATATGTAGTAACTGCTGAACCTCTATGCAGCAGAACAGGCAAGACTGACTTTCATAAGGGGTGCTTCAGTATGTACTGAAATTATTAAAGATGCCAAGAGTCACTGAATTAGCCTCAAAAGGGGCAAGGGTCCTGAGGCTGCATCAGGGTGCTTTGCCTGGATGACTGATCTGCAAAGCCTGCCTGCCTGTGTGATAAAGACAAAGTACTAAATGCCTGTCCTCAAAGCATCCCCCTGATGTGGCTTTCGAGGGGGTTTACATCACACAGCTGGAGACAGGGACATGGTGACAAAGGTGTCCCTGGGCTCCCCTCCACTGGGAGGAGATCGCTGCTCCTCTGCCATTGGCCCTGTGGTGTTTAAGGGAGGACTCCACCCCACCGCCCTAGGACAGCCAGACAGATGGACAGGCGGATGATGCAAGTGGTCTTTCCAATCCTTGTTTCCAGGTGAGGACACTGCTGTACACAGATTAAATGGTGAAGGCCACACTGTGGATCGATGACAGCAGTTTGTGGCTCCTAGCCTGTTCTCAGTCCATTCAAGAATATTGCCCCTAAACATTGAGCAATAAAGCATAATCTAGAGCCATTTTATTAAAAATTACCCCCCAAATCAATACGGCCTTGTTTGCATTAGGTGGTCTTTATGATGTCACCAGCATCATGTGCCTTTTCATTTTTTTTCCCTTGGCAAGCCAAGATAAGTAGGGAGCCTGGCTTTTTTTTCTAAGCTACCTTGCAGAGTTTTTGGGGGTAGGAGGGCACAAGGAGAGCAAGACAGAGTCAAACAGAACAAACCATCAACAGCTCCTGGCATGGATAAAGCACAGTGGCTCCATCTGCATTATTTTATAAAGCTATAGGCAGCTGCCAGCAAATATGCTTAATCTGTACGTGATGTTTGAAGCGTTGTTCCTAAGACCACCAGAGCAATGCCATAGCAGTCTTCCCTTTTACTTGCTCAGACTGATATAAGCTTTTGTCTCTTTTGACACTCTGTCATTATCACTGCTTATCCTGTCTTCTGACTCATGAGGCAAGATAAGTAATTTGTCTCTTAATCCTTACTCTCATGTGTATCTTGTGTAGTATAGAAGGGGAGTAGGAAGTGTCAAAACTTAGGAAAATTTTCAGTGTGTGGCCTCTGTTTCAACACCTTGCAAAGTTGCTCTGCAGACTCTGTCATGCAGATCTATGAGACTAGATACGGACAACTTGGATGCACGGTCAGGAGTTTGTGTCTGCAGCCTGAGTATGCCTTGGGCTAAACCAGTGAGTAATAAAAAGCTTTTAGTTTTGCGCTTTCCTGAAACACTCTACTTCACACTTGCTTGAGGCGTATGTATTAAAACATAATCTTTTGACTTTATGTCTGCACATTTTAAAATTTCAGGCACACAGCAATAAACGTTTAAAAGAAGCCAATGTAAGTGCCCAAATATGTACCAACTTAGGACCTTGACTTTAAACAAACAATTTTTAAAAAGCCCTTGCTTAGAAATGCATCTTGGCAGTGTCATTACTTACTCCAAATTTGTCAGGAGAGATACATATAGTGAAGTACACAGAGCACCAAAAATCACAGAATCACAGAATCGCTTGGTTGGAAGAGACCTCTGAGATCATCATGTCCAACCGTTCCTGCCTACCCACTAAACCATATCCTTAAGTACCTCATCTACCCGCTCTTTAAATACATCCAGGGATGGTGACTCCACCACCTCCCTGGGCAGCCTGTTCCAGCCTCTGACAACCCTCTCAGTAAAGAACTTCCTCCTTATCTCTAACCTGAATCTCCCTTGGCACAGCTTGGTGCCGTTTCCCCTTGTTCTATCCACCATCACCTGGGATCCTAATAAAGACAAGAAAAGTAATTGACACATCTGCAACTTACTTGTACGTGCAGTTTGAATTGACTGGCTGCTGCCTGTGCAAACTGAAGCAACTGGCTCTTCTGAACAGATTTCTGGAATTAACTGTCCTTAAAAATGTTTACATGAAATAGGAAATATCAGTCAAAATTACTAAATAAGGTTTTGTTGCCAGATAGATTTAATATGGGTATCCCTTATCACAAAAGAGAAAAATTTACAGCGGCTCTAGCCTTCCTTAGGCTGCATTCGCAAAAAAAACTGACTGGGTTTGTGATTGCTATGATGCTCTTGCACCCTCTGCTGGCCATTCTGCTGGGAAAGCTACTCCAGGACAGCTACCAGCGAAATCTGAGTCAACTGTTAAAGAGTCTGTAGAAGAATGTGTAAGGATCTGTTTACCCTATATGTTGTTTTTCAGGTGGGCATTCGGTACCCTTTGAGTAGCAAATTCATTTGGGCAGAGGAGAAAAACAAAACCTTGAAACAGAAAATAATTAGGTATTTTCCTGAAACTGGTGCATTTGTGTTTTGACTAATACCATCATACTTTGTTCCTTACTAGAACACAGCAAACCTGACTGGACTGTTTATAAAGACTGGTGGCAGCAACAGTGTTACTGTGGTTAGTAAGTCAGATTCACATGTAAGATCCTTCTGATTCTTCTCTTCTAAGGGAACTTGTGCATCTGCACATTTATGCAGCTGCAGTTGCCAGAAAGCAGATGTCTAATATGTAACTAGCCTATGTATAACTCTGACTGCAAAGTACATTAACTCCATGTACTAATTAGGAAGATACCCTGATACAATATGAACTAAATTTCTAAATTCTTATTTATGCCAAATTAATATTTTAAACACTTTTTAAAGGCACATGGGTATATATAAATTATAATTATGTGCTTGTTAAGTTTTCTATGAAAGTTCTGTTGAATATGCAGTAGTCCTTAAGAAGTCACAAGCTAAAGGCTATCACTTGTCAGAGATCTGCTGGTACCAAACAACGAATGTGATACGATATCCCTGCCTGATTGTCTCTTTTCACTATCACCAAGTAAATTTATGAATACAGGGATACATACAATCTCTTTATTTCCCAGTCTGTCACTTTAAATTTATTTGAACTGTCTAGGAAAAGCATGTACCATAGTTAAGAGAATAAAAGGTCTCCACAATATTGTAACATAAAAAGTGTGCATCGCTTCTCCGCTTTACGTAATACCTAATTACGTTACCATAAATTACATTAACATTAAAGTTTAAGATTTTTTTACCACCTGTGATAAAATTGACTCTGTATGCTTCATTTGGAAGCCAGGTAAAGAATTTTGGAAACTGAAACTGCATCTCATCAAGATGGAGTGCCATGGTTTTACCTTTTTTTTTGCCACAGAATTTTGATCAGTATTCTTCACAGTAGATAGGCTGAACCACAGACACTTCTTAAACTATTATAATATTTCCCAACCAAATCAGATTGAATTACAATTACCCAGAAATAAAATATGCAATTTAAATATAGCTATTTGAGAAAAGAAATTGTAACCAAGGCAAGTTATATATTTCTAATACCTACACAGATCCTAAAGGAAAATTAAAGTGTCAAAAACTAGTTTACAGAACTTTACTGGAAGTATTCAGTTAACTTTATCTTAAATAACCAGTCAGGAAGATTGCAATCCAAAAAGTAACAATATTAAGTAGCTGCAGGCAGTTGAAAACTACGTCAGATGACGGTTATGTGGCACTGCTGAGTCTATGTATTATTACAGTGTCTTACTACTGTTCATATATAGGTAGAAATTTTACTTGTTGATGCAGGAAAATGAAATTTAATGGACTTTACAAGTAGTCTTAACTGGATTCCACAAAGTACTATTTAAGATTTCTTATATCTTTTTATCTCTCTCAAAATGAAGTCTCTGTAGGCAGTGCATTTTTCACGACAACTTATTTTTCCCCATGCCCATGGTGATCTGGTAAAAGGCCAGTTATATATTTATTTGTTAAGAAATTTAAATCAATAAACGTAATTGCTCTTGAATGGTAAAACAAAAATACTGCTGTCCAGTATACCACAAATTACCTCTCATGATCAACTATGGCTTTACTTACTTGTCATAGCTGTTTCTTTTGTTATATGCAGAGCTGCCAGATTATTTGTAGTAGTATTCACATTAACATTATCTGTCAGAAGATTTTTAATTTGATATTAAAATCTTTCAAGTTCATGTTAGACCATTTTAAATTCTGTGGCACTAATTTAGACCATAGTTGGCCTTATGCTATTGAAGGAGATCTTGAGGTCCTCTCTTATGGACAGTCAAGTCTGTCAGCGTTCAAGACTTTCATGTGTTTCTCTAGCTGAATGTTAAGCTCCCGCTTCCAGATGTAATCCATAATGTTTCTTTGTAAAGAGCATAAGTTCTTCATATTCAGTGCTACTAGTAGTGATACTCCTGAATGAAGCTTTCATCCCCTCACACGAACATTTACACAATTATATTAAATACTGATAACATATTGTTAAAAAGAGCATGCCATATTAGTTTATGCACAGCAGATGGACCAATTCTAATCCTTGGGAAGACATAGTTTAAGTAAATGCAGTTAATACATTGTATTCAACTTGCTCAAACCAATATTATCTTCTTATTTACATTTGGGGTCAAGAATCCTTGAGAAGATTACTTACTAGACTGTTTTTTATAAAATTTAGCAGAGCACGGTAAATGTGCATGTATGTCTGTATTTATTGAAAGGATGGTTAACGCTATGTTACCTCCTGCTTAAAAGTTTTTTAGGCCTCTGCATTTTCTAACACTCATTACAATGTTGGCTGATTTTGGAAATCCATCTTA